GCCATTACATAATGGTAAAGGGATCAATTCAACAAGAAGAGCTAACTACCCTAAATATATATGCACCCAATACAGGAGCACCCACATTCATAAAGCAAGTCCTTAGAGGCCTACAAAGAGACTTAGACTCCCACACAATAATAATAGGAGACCTTAACACCCCACTGTCAACATTAGACAGATCAATGAGACAGAAAGTTAACAATGAGATCCAGGAATTGAACTCAGCTCTGAACCAAGTGGACCTAATAGACATCTACAGAACTCTCCACCCCAAATCAACAGAATATATATTCTTCTCAGCACCACATCACACTCATTCCAAAATTGACCACATAGTTGGAAGTAAAGCACTCCTCAGTAAATGTAAAAGAACAGAAATTATAACAAACTGTCTCTCAGACCACAGTGCAATCAAACTAGAACTCAGGATTCAGAAACTCACTCAAAACCGCCCAACTACATGGAAACTGAACAACCTGCTCCTGAATAACTACTGGATACATAACGAAATGAAGGCAGAAATAAAGATGTTCTTTGAAACCAATGAGAACAAAGACACAACATACCAGAATCTCTGGGACACATTTAAAGCAGTGTGTAGAGGGAAATTTATAGCACTAAATGCCCACAAGAGAAAGCAGGAAAGATCTAAAATGGACACCCTAATATCACAATGAAAAGAACTAGAGAAGCAAGATCAAACATATTCAAAAGCTAGCAGAAGGCAAGAAATAACTAAGATCAGAGCAGAACTGAAGGAGATAGAGACACAAAAAACCCTTCAAAAAATCAATGAATCCAGGAGCTGGTTTTTTAATTGATAGACCGCTAGCAAGCTTAATAAAGAAGAAAAGAGAGAAGAATCAAATAGACACAATAAAAAATGATAAAGGGGATATCACCACCGATCCCACAGAACTACAAACTACCATCAGAGAATATGATAAACACCTCTACACAAATAAACTAGAAAATCTAGAAGAAATGGATAAATTCCTGGACACATACACTCTCCCAACACTAAACCAGGAAGAAGTTGAATCCCTGAATAGACCAATAACAGGCTCTGAAATTGAGGCAATAGTTAATAGCCTACCAACCAAAAAAAGTCCCGGACCAGACAGATTCACAACCGAATTCTACCAGAGGTACAAAGAGGAGCTGGTACCATTCCTTCTGAAACTATTCCAATCAGTAGAAAAAGAGGGAATCCTCCCTAATTCATTTTATGAGCCCAACATCATCCTGATACCAAAGCCTGGCAGAGACACAACAAAAAAAAGAGAATTTTAGACCAATATCCCTGATGAACATCGATGCAAAAATCCTCAATAAAATACTGGCAAACCGAATCCAGCAGCACATCAAAAAGCTTATCCACCACGAACAAGTTGGCTTCATCCCTGGGATGCAAGCCTGGGTCAACATATGCAAATCAACAAACATAATCCATCATATAAACAGCACCAAAGACAAAAACCACATGATTATCTCAATAGATGCAGAAAAGGCCTTTGAAAAAATTCAGCAGCCCTTCATGCTAAAAACCTCTCAATAAACTAGGTATTGATGGAACGTATCTCAAAATAATAAGAGCTATTTATGACAAACCCACAGCCAATATGATACCGAATGGGCAAAAACTGGAAGCATTCCCTTTGAAAACTGGCACAAGACAGGGATGCCCTCTCTCACCACTCCTATTCAACACAGTGTTGGAAGTTCTGGCCAGGGCAATCAGGCAGGAGAAAGAAATAAAGGGTATTCAATTAGGAAAAGAGGGAGTCAGATTGTTCCTGTTTGCAGATGACATGATTGTATATTTAGAAAACCCCATCGTCTCAGCCTAAAATCTCCTTAAGCTAATAAGCAACTTCAGCAAAGTCTCAGGATACAAAATCAATGTGCAAAAATCACGAGTGTTCCTATACACCAATAACAGACAAACAGAGAGCCAAATCATGAGTGAACTCCCATTCACAATTGCTTCAAAGAGAATAAAATACCTAGGAATCCAACTTATAAGGGAAGTGAAGGACCTCTTCAAGGAGAACTACAAACCACTGCTCAACGAAATAAAAGAGGACGCACACAAATAGAAGAACATTCCATGCTCATGGAGAGGAAGAATCAATATTGTGAAAATGGCCATACTACCCAAGGTAATTTATAGATTCAATGCCATCCCCATCAAGCTACCATGACTTTCTTCACAGAACTGGGAAAAAAACTACTTTAAAGTTTATATGGAACAAAAAAAGAGCCTGCATTGCCAAGACAATCCTAAGCCAAAAGAACAAAGCTGGAGGAATCATGCTACCTGACTTCAAACTATACTATGAGGCTGCAGTAACCAAAACAGCATGGTACTGGTACCAAAAGAGAGATACAGACCAATGGAACAGAATAGAGCGCTTGGAAATAATACCACACATCTACAACCATCTGTTCTTTGACAAATCTGGCAAAAATAAGAAAAGGGGAAAGGATTCCCTATTTAATAAATGGTGCTGGGAAAACTGGCTAGCCATATGTAGAAAGCTGAAACTGGATCCTTTCCTTACACCTTATATGAAAATTAATTCAAGATGGATTAAATACTTAAATGTTAGACCCAAAACCATAAAAACCCTAGAAGAAAGCCTAGGCAATACCATTTAGGCCATAGGCATGGGCAAGGACTTCATGTCTAAAACACCAAAAGCAATGGCAACAAAAGCCAAAATTGACAAATGGGATCTAATTAAACTAAAGAGCTTCTGCACAGCAAAAGTAACTACCATCAGAGTGAACAGGCAACCTACAGAATGGGAGAAAATTTTTACAATCTACCCATCTGACAAAGGGCTAATATCCAGAATCTACAAAGAACTTTACAAATTTACAAGCAAAAATCAAACAACCCCATCAAAAAGTGGGCAAAAGATATGAACAGACACTTCTCAAAAGAAGACATTTATGCAGCCAGCAGACACGTGAAAAAATGCTCATCATCACTGGCCATCAGAGAAATGCAAATCAAAACCACAATGTGATACCATCTCACACCAGTTAGAATGGCGATCATTAAAAAGTCAGGAAACAACAGGTGCTGGAGAGGATTTGGAGAAATAGGAATGCTTTTACACTGTTGGTGGGACTGTGAACTAGTTCAACCATTGTGGAAGACAGCGTGGCGATTCCTCAAGGATCTAGAACTAGAAATACCATTTGACCCAGCCATCCCATTACTGGGCATATACCCAAAGGATTACAAATCATGCTGCCATAAAGACACATGCACACATATGTTTATTGTAGCACTATTTACAATAGCAAAGACTTGGAACCAATCCAAATGTCCATCAATGATAGACTAGATTAAGAAAATGCGGCACATATACACTATGGAATACTATGCAGCCATAAAAAAGGATGAGTTCATGTCCTTTGTAGGGACATGGATGAAGATGGAAACCATCATTCTGAGCAAACTATTGCAAGGACAGAAAACCAAACACTGCATGTTCTCACTCATAGGTGGGAACTGAACAGTGAGAACACTTGGACACAGGGTGGGGAACATCACACACTGGGGTCTGTCATGGGGTGGGCGGTGGGGGAAGAATAGCATTAGGAAATATACCTAATGTAAATGACAAGTTAATGGGTGCAGCACACCAACATTGCACATGTATACATATGTAACAAACTTGCATGTTGTGCACATGTACCCTAGAACTTAAGGTATAATAATAATAAAAAAAATTGATCCCAAAAGCCATTTACACTTGCTGTCTGCACAGCCTCTTCTCCCATCTGCTCAAATTCAGTTTCTGCACCTACACCCTAAGTCATCAACGGCCTCCTTGTCCCAAAATCGGTGGACATGGCTCATTTTGTCCTGCAGGTCTTGCAGAGATGCTGCTGATCTTTCCCTCCTTGAAACCCTTGCTCCTTTGGCTGCCACCAACCCCTTCTGTGTGGCTGGTCTCCAGGCTTCTGTCCTTGACCCACTTCTCAATTCATTCTCCAAGTGTGCCTGGGGAGCCTCCTCTCTCTCTCAGATGGCCTGGCAGTGGTACCTCCAACAAACTGCCCGAATTATCCCCCTTCCTTCCAAGACTCCCTCCTGCACGCATGTTCTCTAGCTCTGTGGAAGCCACCATCATCCTCCCATTACCCGAGCAGGCCCCTGGGGCAGCCCTGATTCAGGGTTTCCTTCGTCCTGCACATCCAGTCATTCCCAAGTGCAGCTAGTATTGCTTCCCTAGGACCTCTCCTATTGCCCCCGCCCACCTTCCACAGCTTCATTCTCACACAGGCACTGCAGCCCTCAATGTCTCCTTCTCCCCATCTTTCCTGCCCTCCTTCCAGGGTCCCACAGTGTGAATTCCACCTTGATGCTTCCCTGTTCAAACCCTTCAGTGGCTCTCTCTGGCCTTGAGGGTAAAATCCAAGTCCCTGAGCATCCTCCCATCTCCCTACCCACTCCCCATCCCGGGCCCTTTCCTATCCCTCCAGCCCCATCCCCTGGCACTCCTTGTCTAGAACTTTACCCTCCAGACCTTAGAGTGCAGACATCGAGGTTTATCAAAACCCACACCCTGCCAGTTTTCACCTTTGCTCCTGTGACTCCTCTGTGTGGAGTGCCTTTGCCCTCCTTAGTGTCCTTCCCCTACACCTGGCTAACTCCTACTCAGCCTGTGAGACTCCAGTGTCACCTCCTCCTGGAAGTCCTCCCTGACCATCCCCCATCCCTCCTTGGTGCTCCCAGATGACATGCTGCATTATGTGGAAATATTTCTTCCCCCTCCCTTACTGATGAGGGAGTGCCTTGGGAACAAGATCTGGCCTGGTTTAATGGATGCCTCAGTACCCAGCAAGGGAACTGGCCCTGAGTTGGTGCTCAACAACCATTTGTTGAATGACTGGGTAAGTGAATAATCCTGCCCTGAGACATGGATAACTGAGGCAGGAGTCATCGTGTCCTGGGTAGTGCTGGGCCCCAGGCTCACCAGTGCAGAGCAGGCCTGTGCTGATCCATCGAAACAGCTGCATGTGCTCCCTGCAGAAACTTCTGGCTCTCAGGGCTGGCTGCAGGTTCCTCCTGGGAACAGGACCAGTAGGGTCCATGAGTGCATGAGCAGACCCCACCTGGGGGAGATCCTCAGCACCTCCACTCAGGTATGTCCCTGGTAAAGTGGCAACAGGGGCAAGCCAGGGCTTACCTTGACATCCTCACAGGGTTGCAGGGCAACCCCAGCTCAGGGCGAACAGAGAAATGGCTCAGGCCTTCCTGCCTCTGTGGCAGCACCTACAGGCCCCCCTACCCCAGTGATAGTCCCTGCCTCCAGGGCTCGGGAGGAAGTTCACTGAAAAGGCAGAACCTCATCAACATACAGAAATGTGGCTGGGGGGCGCGGTGGCTCACGCCAGTAATCCCAGCACTTTGGGAGGCCCAGGAGGGTGGATCGCTTGAGCCTAGGAGTTTGAGACTAGCCTGGGCAACCTGACAAACCCCGTCTCTACCAAAAATACAAAAATTAGCTGGGCAGGTGGCGTGCATCTGTGGTCCCAGCTACTCAAGAAGCTGAGGCAGGAGAATCGCTTGAGCCCAGGAGGGGCTGAACCAAGATCATGCCACTGCACTCCAGCCCAGGCAACAGAGTGAGACCTGCCTCAAAAAAAAAAAAAAAAAGAGAGAGGAAGGAAGGAAGGAAGGAAAGAATGAAGGAAGGAAAAGCAAGCAAGAAAGAAAGACAAACACGGATGGCTCCCTCCCCTTCCCTGTCGTTCATCCACGTGCCCATGGGACACACATTGAGCCTACTCAATGCTAATTGGAATCCACCCACCAGCTGCCATTTTAAGGAGCCTCTCGCCCCCTCTCAGTCCCCACCTCCCACCTCCTGAGAGGGTTGGGGAGGCATTCTTCCCATACCCCCTGCCCAGGCAGAGAAATTGAATCCCTCCCCCACCACCACCCCCTACCCATCACGGTGTCCTTAGCTCCACATCTGGCCAGCAAGGACCCAGACTGCCCAGACATCAGGAGGCAGAGTTCTAGGCTCACCTCAGACACTTGCTGCCTATGCCACCCAGGCTGGTCCCTTCCCCTCTCTGGGCTTCCACCTCCCCGTGTAAAATCAGGGGCCTTGCCCAGTTCAGGATTTTTAACCGGAGACTTGGGACTCCCCAAGGTACCCCAGAGACTGAATGGGGGGAGAAGGCAGAAGGGGAGGTTGAGAGGGAGGTCTAGCTGGTTCGGAGCAGGCCCCACGGTATATACTGGGGTTCCTGATGGGATTTCATTTGAGCTGCTCAAAAGCAGGTGGGGAGCCCATGATTTGGCTCACCCTTGAGTCTAATGTGCTTGTGCGTGTTGGCTAAAGCGCCTTTATTCCTTCCTTCAACAAAGGTTCACGTCCCCACAACTCCCATCCGCCAGTAGGCCCAGCTCCGCATCCTGTTCCCAAGCAGCCTCCACCCCAGGCCCACCCTTGTCTCTCCAGAGATCACCTACCATCTGGAGAAGCGCTTCGGCGCCGCCTCGATCCGGTTGCTCCTGATCTCGGTGGCGCTCAAGTCGCTCCCAGGGAGCTGGCCTTCCTCCTACAGCCAGCAGGGGGCTGTCAGGGCAGCCTGCCCCTTACCCGCCCACAGGAACTTACAGCCAGGGGTCAGGGGCCACGGTGAGACCCTGGCTGAGGAGGGGACTGGGCTGGGGCACAGGGAGGAATTAGAAGGCTACTGAACTGAATTCTGCAAGGCAGGCACTGAGCACCTACTGTGTGCAGAGGGCTCTGCCAGACACATCCTGCCCTCAGCGAGCTCATGGTCTGCGCAGGGACAGACACCTGCTGCCCAGCTGTGACTGGAAGGGACTGAGAGGAGGCCTGTAAGGGAGGCCCCAGGCAGGGCTACCTCAACACATGACCTCAGGGCACCACGCACCCCCGAGTCTGTGGAGCTGTTTTGGGTGGGGGGTGGGCATTCTTGCAGATGACAGCATGAAAGGAGCACCCCAAGAGACAAGGGCAGTGAAGGGGAGGGGGCTTTGTCAGAGCAGGCTGGGAGGGTGCAGGGTGTCCTACTAGGCTCCAAGTTCTGGGTGGTGTGCCTCGACATGACCTGGCCACTTGAAGGCAAGGACAAGGCTCCTTGAAGGCTGAGATTTCCTTAGAGACCCCCTCCCCCGTCATCTGGTTTTTATTCTCATTCTGTAGGTAACAGCTCAAATGTCACTTCCTCATTGGGGCCTGCCCTGCCCTTTCAGACTAGGACTTTCAGACTACAGTGCACACAGTACGTGCTCAGTCAGTGTATAATGACTGAAATAAAGGGGGCGGCCTTGTGTTGAGGAGGCCAACACACTGGGAGGTTCCTAACTGTGTGAGCAAGGAGGTGAGAAGGAGGCAGAAGAATGGGGTGTGAGGGAAGGTGGTGAGCAAAAGCCTCACCCCCTCGGCAGCCAGACTCAAGTCAAAGAGGTTGAGGGGTCAGGATGACTGATGGGGAAGGGTACAGACCAGGCTTTCCAAGAAATCAGCCCCCATGTTCTCCAGACCCTTGGCCACAGGTGTGAGAGAGATGGACTGTCTTCGTCCTGAGGGATCGTTCTCCATGTTCCAGACCTTCCAGCTGAAAGACAAATCAGCGAGGCCCAGCGCTGAGAGGGAGGCCAGGCAGGGCCCAGGTTAGGGGCCTGGGCAAGTGGGAGAGGGCGGAGTTGGGGGAGCAGATGCCTGGCACAGCCAGAGCCCTGTCTGGGGGCCACCTGTGCCATCCCAGAGCTCAACCCCTCCTTGTGACTGGGACTGCAGCCTTGGCTTCCCAGCACATGGATGAGGTACCCCTTCCTTTTTCTAGAGACTGGGTCTCCCTATGTTGCCCAGGCTGGTCTCCAACTCCTGGGCTCAAGCAGTCCTCCCACCTTAGCCTCCCAAAGTGTTGGGATTACAGGTATGAACCACCACCCCAGCCTGCACCCACATCTGAATCTGTGAGAGGCAAGTCCTTGTGAACTCTGGGAGTTCCAGGCAGAAACAGCAAATTCTGTCCACTTCATAGAGAAGGAAAGTAAGGAATTATATACAGCATGCATATGTATCTGATACAGGCATTTTTCTGAAGAGAGGACCTAGCTTTCATCACTCCCTACAATGGGTTAAAACTATTACCATTAAGCGAGATCTTCATTGTATTCTACTTTTCCATCTCTGAAAGATGGAGGTGCAACATCCTTAAAGGCATCATTCCAGTCCCTGGATCCAACTATACCTGAAACCAATCCTACCCCTGGACTTTTCCATTGCAAAAATCAATATAGTTCATTTTTTGCTGAAGCTCAGTTCATAGGCTTAAATTCCTCTGTAAATAAGAGTGCTAACTAACACCTCCTCTCTCCCTACTCTTGTTCCCACTCCTTTTTCTCCCCTTGGGGAATGCCCTACTCCATCCAAATGTAAGCCCAGTTAGGCTGACATACTCAGAGACTCGTGTACGTGCATGCACACACACAGGCGGAGCCTGGAAATGCCCCAGATCACACACAGACACACAGCGGCGCACACAGAGGCAGGGCCCTGTTTCTACTCACGTATCTGCGGTGAACAGGTCGCTCTGAGAGACAGAGAAGAACACGTCTTTGTGGGGACAAGCTGGATCCAACCTGCTTTTGCTCTGGCTTGCCTTGTCACTTCAGCAGAAATTCCTGGGCAGAGTCCAGGGTCGGAGTAGGTTGGGCCTGCCACCCAGCTCTGCCCAGCGCCTCCCCAGAGGCCAGGGCCACAGCCGGGGTGGGAACCCCAACCCCGTCTCAGGGATACAGGAAGCAGGCCCACTTGCAACCTGGCTCCCTGCAGCTCCTGCCCACTGGCTGCTGCTTCTCCAGCAGAGATGCCCTCCTCTGTCCTCTCCCCAGTTCCCAAACTGACCTCTTCCAGGCCTACTAAGGTCACCTCTTCCAGGAAGCCACCTATGTGATTATTTCCCTCCCCCTCCTTGCCTCCCGTGGCCTCCTTTCCCCAGCCAGGCTGTTAGCTTTTTGCATTTTATCTTTCATTTTGCATCTTGATCTATCTCCCTTTCTCACCTAATGGGGATTTATTACAACAGCAACCAATTTTCCTATGCTGGAAAATGAGGAAAGCAGTGTAGCTGTCAGAAATAGTAAAAGTGTTTCAGGTCTGTCAAGAAAACAAAACCAAATCACACCATTTCCCCTTCATTTCATCTTTGTTAAATGAATGCCTAAGCCAACAGCGTGCAAAGTGAAGGACTGAACGCTTTAGTTTTTCAGTCCTCAAACTAAACATTAAACTCATCTGATGGGATTGACAATATCTCTTTAATAATTAATGGTATGCACTCAGGACAAAATCCTTTATGATGCATAAATACTTCCTAGTACTGGCACATCCTGGTTGTTTTGGAAGTTTGGGGAGGATGGTGGATGGATACCCCCTCTCTTTGAAAACATTTTTTCTTCATCTGTCATTTGAATTACCAAAACATTACAAGTGCATCACTAAACATTGAAACACTGGAGAAATATACAGAATGAGGGTTTAAATCCCCAGAGTCTGAGACCCCAGGGATGACCACTGTTGAGTTTGTGGCATTTTTCTTTTTTTTGAGATGGAATTTCACTCTTGTTGCCCAGGCTGGAGTGCAGTGGTGCGACCTTGGCTCACCACAACCTCTACCTCCCAGATTCAAGCGATTCTCCTGCCTCAGCCTCCCAAGTAGCTGGGATTACAGGCATGCACCACCACGCCTGGTTAATTTTGTATTTTTAGTAAAGACAGGGTTTCTCCATGTTGGTCAGGCTGGTCTCGAACTCCCGATGAGTTCAAGAACTCCCTCAGGTGATCCACCCACCTCGGCCTCCCAAAGTGCCGGGATTACAGGCGTGAGCCACTGCACCCAGCCTTTTCTCTCCACTTTTTTTTTCCTAAATGTGTATTATTTTATGTTATTCATTTTCCAACAGGGGATCACACAGTAACAGTGTTCTCATAATTTCATTATTCTAGCAGTATTCCACACACTGTTGAGAGCCCATGTGTTACCTTGATTGAAAACTAGCCAAAAAGCAAGACTCTACCTTTAAAAAAAAGACAGGGGGAGGGGCGGACGCGGTGCCTCACACCTGTACTCCCAGCACTTTGGGAGGCCAAGGCGGTCACATCACTTGAGGCCAGGAGTTTGAGACCAGCCTGGCCAACATGGTGAAACCCCCTCTCTACTAAAAATACAAAAATTAGCCAAGCATAGTGGCAGGTGTCTGTAGTCCCAGCTACTCGGGAGGCTGAGGCAGGAGAATTGCTTGAACCTGACAGGTGGAGGCTGCAGTGAGCAGAGATCACGCCACTGAGCTCCAGGCTGGGCGACAGAGTGAGACTCTACCTCAAAAAAAAGAAAAAAAAGAAAACTAAATGTTGTCTCTGAGCAGGACTCCTGTCTCTGTGGGTGGTCACCACAGGGATGGGCCCGAAGCTGTCCTTGAAGGGATCTTCACCAAGCCCCAGTGAAGGAAAAAAGGACACCACCTGCTTTTCCACTTTGCCCCATGCTACCCACTTCCCCTCCTTTCTCCAGTCCCGCCTTCCCTCCCCTCTTACTGTCGTTAACTCTCACCCTTGTTTCTGTCGGCATCCTGAGGGAAGCCAGGAGCACAACACGTCCAGCAGCAACCATGCTTGCTTCGAAACATTCCCGACATTGCAGCTTATAACCAACATCGTTGTTGGCCCTAATCTCTACAACAAGGATTTAATGGGCTGTGTGTCTTGGGGTGGATCTTGAGCTTGGAGCCCAAAGGTCTCTACTCCTGACTGTCAAAGTTAACTTGCTGCCTCAACTGGTGGTGGGTACTAGAACCTAAGAGGAGTCAATGTGCTCCTACTTGGGAAGTACCTGGCAGGGAGTCCAGCAGCACCAGGCTGGCAGGTGTTATTGCTGTCCCGGGTGTCATCCGGGGCTGTTCTGACACACTGCTCCCCTCCTCCAGGCCAGGATACTCCAGGCTTCTCTCCTGCTCCTCCCCTCAAGGAGGCACGGCCAGCAAGGATCCCAGCCCCCAGTAAGGATCCCAGCCCCTTTTCAGGTGGAATTTGGTGAAAAGTCACAGGCTGGGGAGTTGGGAGGCTGGATAGATTGGGGTGGAGACCCCAGGGAAAGACCAACAGCTAGAGGACCTCAGGTGTCCCGGCTGCGCCCATCCAGCTGTAGGACCTCAGCACATCCCTGGGCTTCTTGGTGGCCTGTTTCCTGAGGAAACAGTCTCTGAGGCCCGGCACACCCACTGGGGCCCGCTGAGTGAGACCCAGAGCTGAGCTAGGCCAGGGCAGAGTGGGGAGAGAACCGCATAAATATGCATAGATAATTTCCCTCACCATCCAGCAGAGCTCAGAGGGGTTGACAGTAAAGGGGCTGCTCTGCCCCTCCAACTCTGTCCCATTCCTCAGAGGCAACCACCTAACTTTTCTGGTTTTAGTTCTTCTGCAGGCCACCTCCTGTTTTAGGGAATGATTAGTCAAAGAGTTGGAGAGAATTCCTTCTCGCCAGGCTCTGACATAATAGGTTATTTTATAAGTAGTGAGTGAAACATTCAAAAGCACAAGAACTATCAGAAGAGTTGCTCAGCAACCCCTTTATTTTCTTCTCATGATTCTGCCCACATTCATTTCTTAGCTCTTCACAGGCAAGGTCTCTTTCGTTGCATTGATTTGTGTATCCAAGCACTGGGCAAATAAAGAGGCTCATTCCTCATCAAGTTCCATGAACATGACCTCATCATTCTTCTCTCCTAAACCTGGGATGATTGGCAGAAAGGGCATCCATACAACTTTTTCTTCTGCATTTGGCATTGAAAAATGGACTTCCTGTAGTCTGTAGTAGAAATATTGGAAAGTAGCAATAATCCTAGCACTTTGGGAGGCCAAGGCGGGTAGATCGCTTGAGCCCAGGACTTCAAGACAAGCCTGGGCAACATAGGGAGACCCTGTCTCTACAAAAAAAATAGAAAAAATTAGACAGATGTGGTGGCGTGTACCTGTAATCCCAGTCACTCGGGAGGCTGAGGTGGGAGGATCATTTAAGCCTGGGAAGTCAAGGCTGCAGTGAACCATAATCACACCACTGCACTCCAGCCTGGGCGACAGGAGTGAGAACCTGTTTTAAAAAACAAAACAAAACAAAACAAAACAAACAAAAAAATGATGACATAGAGTTAAATACAAAGACTAAAGAAATACCTTGGGCTTTTATACTCTTTACTTGTAACTCTTCTAGTTTTCCTGTGGGAATGGACTAGCCTAAGTGTTAGAGCACACTGCTCTCCTGGCAACTACAGAGCCAGTTCAGCTGGTCCCAGGAGAAGAAAGCATTCCAGTACCCCAAAGGCTGGAATCCCCCAGTCTGCTTGGCATGATTATCCAATGGTCTCTGATCTAGTTTACTCCTTGACCCACTCTACTCACTGAGAACATCTGGGCACACATGGTCATTATCCAATACAAAATGCAAGGCCAAGTCTGGGGCTCATCTACGGCAGCAGCAAGAGGCCTGGTAGAACTAGGATGCCTGGCCCCACCTGCAGGAGTGCTTAAGGCCACCAGGCAGGGCAAATTTTACCCAAGCAGTTCAGAGATCACTGTTCCCAAATATTTAATATTTAATTGATTGCACTTATAAAGTGTAATTCCCTTGTTGTTGTTTTACCTTCTATTCCTCTTGCCTCTCCAGCTCATATTAGCATTTTATTTATTTAGTTGTTTATTTATTTATTTTTGAGACAGGGTCTCACTCTGTCTCCCTGGCTGGCGTGCAGTGGCACAAAATCAGCTCACTACAGTCTTGACCTCCCAGCAATCCTCCCACCTCAGCCTCCAGAGTAGCTGGGACTACAGCTGTGCACCATACGCCAGCTAATTTTTTTCTGTTTTTAAAAAATTTCATCCCAGTTATTCTAATATTTATTTATTTACTTATTTTGTAGAGATGGGGTCTTACCATGTTGCCCAGGTCTAGAACTCCTGGGCTCAAGTGATCCTCCTGCCCCAGTCTCCCAAAGTGCTGGGATTACAGGTGTAAGCCACTGTGCCCAGCCTCATACCAGCTTTTCATATAGTGAGAAACTGAGATAGTTCCTTTTCAGTTTGATCCAGATCAAGATGTTCTGCAAACCAAGGGTCTTAATTCATGTTATGCTCTTGGGTTCAGGGGTGATGTTCCTGTCTATTACAGGTTTTATACTAAAAGCTATATCTTCCTTCTAAAGTACACTTCCTCCAGCTATTGGCGGGGGCCGTGGAGACTATTAATTTGGATTTCCTTTGCCTTATTGATCAAGTCACAGTTGATAAGCTGATTCGCTATACAGGCAAAAATGATTCCGTGATTGTTCCATCTTCTCCCCCTGTCAGAGAAGTGGTCTGATATGGCCCTCACTGGGCCTAAGGGCGAAGCCAGATACTTTTACAGGAGTAATCATGGAGAGGACTTAAGGCCTCCTGGGAGGAGCCAGGAAAACAATTTACCAAAGACCAGCAGGGTCCATACAGAAGTGCTGACAAGTAGGGCACCACAAATTCAATACAATTGTTAGGTAGAACAAAAACGGACACCTGGTGTCCTGCTGTGGAGTCAAAGGCGTGGCTGCGTCTTTCACTCTACTCTCACTGGTAATCTCACTGTTCTTCCTGGATGGGCCTGCCAATCAGACACCATGACTCACTTAGAAACACTCCTTTCCATTTCACTACGCCTATAGAAGCAAGAAAGGTTCCTGATTCCCAGGGCTGTGTTCTGTGGCCGTGGAAACCTGACCCATCACAGAAGCTCAATACTGGCCAGCTCATGGGCTGGGAGCCTCAGCTGTAGCATTTCCTGTTGGTTCCCACCAGTCTCCTTCCCCAGGGCAGTGCTGGTCCCCACAGGGATGAGAGCTGGAAATGTAGTACTCAGGGGCTTGGGCAGAGAGCTTTGTTAGCCACCCCACCCTCAGGAAATGGAGAGGCACTGGAGCTCACAGGTTGGAGGGGAAGAGCAGTGTGTGAGGGGCCCTGAGATGGATCCTGTAGTTCCAGGAGATGGTGACAACAATGGTACCAGCTGGCACACTTAAGAGCTTGGCAGATGCCAGGATCTGTGATAAAAGCCTTACCTGCACTATCTCAATGAACCCTCACAATAACCCAGTGAGGTAGGCACTGGCTACCGTTTCTCCTACCTGTCCTCCATGGAAGAGTGTGACTGGGGAGCCAGTACCAGAAAGGGAGCAACTATTGAGAAGTTGGCCAGCCTGAGGTAAAGCCAGGGGCCACTGCACTGCATGCTAGTATTTGGAAGATCTGAGCTGGCTCTTGAGGTGTCTGCCCCATGTGACCATCTCATTGGCTGCACAGCAGGCAGGATGGATTCTGGACCCACGCTTGGACTCTACTGCTGTGGACTGTGTTCTCTGGTCAGACTCTGTGTCATCAGGGTTACTGTGCCTCTGAATGACTTCCTGGGTAAGACCCAGTGTGAATTTTGCAAGGGTTGATTTACTGG